GACAGTGAATTTAAGCTGATGTGAGGGGAACATTTGCATTGTATGTGTAAAACATTAGCATTGTATGTGTAAAACGTTTCAACTCATGAAGATTAGTCTATTTAGTTTGTTGTTTATGGCACAGCAACAAAAGTAAGTTCTTAATTGCCAAGACAAGTGAACTTAAGAGCCTTATCCAAGGAGACACCAAATTAGCTGTTTTACTGTTTTTATCTTTTCTAACAGGTTTTCGCTCGACTCAACCCATACTTGCCGGAGAGGTTTATGGATTATCTTATTGAGAAATATTTTCCATCAACCCCAATCGCTGCTGAAACGCAGGTGACAGACAACCAGGACAAATCAAAATGAAACAGTAAATATAATGAAATTTATTCAATCTGTTGGCCTTTGGAAAAGCGTTCTACCCAAACTGATGTAGCGTCTACTGTGCGAGTAAATATCCCGTGAAGATAAACCGGATACAGTTAGTTTATGTGTTTAAGTTTGAGAAATAAACTGCATATGTTCATTATTGCTTAGTAGAGCTATCTATTCGTATGCCAAAATCATTTCTTCTCATGAAACAAATCAAATTAAATCTAATATACCATAAGGTACCATTTTTTTATTTTAAAACTGTAATTTATACTCCATTAGATTGTATAAAAAGTAATGATCCATAAGAAACCGTTGATACTCTTTTTTAGTTGTTTCATCAATATAGTTGTTGTCATCACTGAATCGAACAACCGGAGTCCAATGGTCCAAATAAGTCAACATGATTCCCATGGTCCAAATAAGTCAACAGGAGTACCATGGTCCAAATAAGTCAACAGAAATCCCATAGTTGTTTTTGATACTATTTGTGTTTATTGATGAGATTTCAAATTAGTCCATGTGACCCAAACCTTTAAGACAATCGACAAAAAATGCAAATTTTTGCGACAAATTCACAGAAACAAGAATTCCTCACAGTGTCTCCTTTGTCTCAAGCTATCCACACAATGTTATTAAGGCAAAACACGCAGATGTGAAGTAATATTAAGAAAGTATGTTTTTTCTCTTAGTCTCAGTGACTTTGACATTTGTCATTTTGATCCCTAGTCGTGCCTTCGGTGGCACATATGGCTTCGTCGAGATAGCGCTATTGCTGACGGCATGCATCCTTATGTCTGATGGTGTTCCATGTCAGACCATATTTCTTAATCTCTTAAACCACATTTTTAATCTATTTCCCTATAGTCTTATAATCTGCTTAGGCCAACACCACTCTCGTCTCCCGTCGAGGGCTCAGCAAAGGACTGTCCTAGGCGATGCTTCCAGTGACGTTCGGCATAAATGCCCAATCTTTTCTTCTTCTTGATCTGGACAAGACATATTGATTAGGTCCTAAGATAAAAAAAAAACATCTTCATTATTGATCTTGTTGACAGAGAATATGCCAAGAATCGTCCCCAGACACTTGGTGTGGAAGATTGTAACTGTAATTTTTACTCCATTAGATTGTATAAAAAGAAATGATCCATAAGAAACCGTTGATACTCTTTTGTGGTTGTTTCATCATTATAGTTGTTGTCATCACTGAATCGAACAACAGGAGTCCAATAGTCCAAATAAGTCAACATGATTCCCATGGTCCAAATAAGTCAACATGATTCCCATTTTTATGTCAGTTTCCTGTATTCCATACAGTACAGTAGCACTCTGATTGCATTGCTTCGGTAAATCCTCAGATTTGTTCAGCATACCGAAGGTTTCAATTCCTTTGCTAGTTCTGGAGTTTGCTTCTCACTTCAGGTCTCGGACTGTGAACACTTTGCTTTCAAGTTATATGAAATAATCAACCTCTTGTATTGGTTTCGAAGTTTCGAAAAAAAAAATCTAGAAGGTTGACTGCATGCCAACCGATGGCCTCGACGCTATCTTTTATATATATGACCGACAAGGCAGGACTGACAGAGACTGCTCTTATCTCATGAGCAGAGATCATCATGCATCAACAATGTTATTTTGATATGTCTGAATATGTGGTGCGTTTTACCCACTTCAACCACGACGAGAAGGTGTGAGAGGTCACGTTTCTTTCCAACGTTTATTTAACTGGGTTAAAGAGGCTTCTTTGAGCTCCCAAAATGTATCAGTCCTCTTCAGATAAAGTCAGAGCACACGTACAGAGTCCTGTGAGAAAGCCATTTGGGTCATATCAGTACAGGAGAGAGGTCGTATACTGACTGAATGTAGGCTGGATCAAAAGAGAGATCATGTAATTCATTGACTACTTGCCAAAGCGAACACTATCAGATTTTGTATGAAAGGAGTTGAACAAGGTTCTGGCAGAATGCAGGAAAGATTCCACTTAGGAAAACAGTCTGAGTGATTTAGACCTATCAAATCAAAGTTGGACAAATCAGAAACGTCTTTATTATGACAAGTATCCATCCTGCTATGATTACGAAACGTGCTGTTAATAGTAATCACAGCCAACTTTTTCTCCTCAAACAGGCAAAGAAACAGGCCAGCTACTTGTTGGACAGTATCATTATGTATGATTTTCTGAACAAAATGGGACATCAAAATAGATGATATGCATGAAAATAAACTTATGCTTATTTTGTTGATGCTTGCCTAATATGTCATTTGGCATATTTGTGTGAGTAATAACCTTAATTATGGGGAGATTCGAAGTCTTAAAATATAGGAATAAAGTCAACTTAAATTTAAAACTGCCGCATTATTTACAAAGATATTAGTGAAAACGTTTCTTTTCGTATATTTGCAATTAAATTAAAAATAAATGATGACAAAGAAAATTTGTTTTCTTCCATATTAAAAAAACAAACATAAAATAAAAATTTAACCTTTTAATTCTGATCTTTATCAACCTCATCCCTTCTTCAAACTGTAAAACAAATTGTTCACATCTCAGGAATAATTCTGGCTAGTTTCATACATGTTTAATGGAGAGAATGATGTAATGTGATGTAATGTGACTGGCATTTCTTTGGATATTATATTTGTGGAATTTATACATAATCTAAGCACACTGACAACTATAATGATTGCTCCCTTGTGCTAAAAAAAATCGGCCTGAATTAGTCGAAACTATACTTTTTTTTAGCAGCTATTAAAATAGGGAAAGTTAATTTTGATAGACTTGACAAGATCAGCTTCTGAAAGTACAGTGAATGAATTACCAAATATATAAAATGTAAAAAAAAAAATGTTATCGATTCTTTTTTTTACAATTTAACTTTGATGTTCAGGAAATGAAAATAATCCAGTGTAGCTAGCAGTTTTTGAAAGGTGCACACCTGATGTTCGGTCTAATTGTATTCTATATAACACATTATACCCAACAGTCATATACCAAAATAGAACGAATTAAAAGTTCTTTGAACAATAACTAAGATAATCGATGTATTTTTTTTTTAAATAGACAGTATAACCACTGAGGAAACCGGGGAAATTCTTTTTCTTTAACATTCAAACCCTATGCAAAATACGAAACTGTAGAGCGCCACCTGAAGATGAGAAAGATATGCCAAGTTGAGGTGGATGAGAAAATCCATAACGAGATGGACGGACTGGTGGGATGGAGAAAGATGGGACTTGCAATTGAGCAGACAATTTAGTAAAAGGGAAATGGAATCGTTCATTCCTGTAAGTAGAATGGAACTGTATGTTTTTGGAGGATGTTGTCCATATGAGCGATGTTGAGGTGTATGTCAAACTGAACAGGGAAACAATAGAGAGGAGTAATTCCATAAAGGCCCATGGGCTTATATTCAGGCCGATAGAGCGCGAGAATCATAAAACTTTCCTCGGTAAACAAACTACATGAATTTATGTTGTATAGCTTGATGGATGAGAATATGCGCCTGTCGGATCGAGACAGATGGCAAATTAGTTCTGAAGGATAGAGAAGCGGACTGATCTTTCCGCCTCGATATTGAATGCCAATGGCCGTTCAATGCAGAAAAGGCTAGGAGGGAAACTATGGAGATTGTGAATAATCTCCACCACCACCCTCTCGATGAAGGTTCGGGTCGGTTGCTACAAATGTGTGTCATTTACAGAGTCCGACGGTACCTCCATCATGAAGGGAGAGGACCAAAGAGGAGGTGATTGGCAAATCGAGAACCGAAGCTCCTTTGAATAAATTTAGATCCCCCGCTGGTATGGTGGAAGGCGATCTATCCAACGCATTCCGGTGTAGACGAGAGGTGTAGTTGTCGTTCTGAGTTCTGCAACAACCATTAAAGTATGTTGCCACCTTTAAGTTATAGTCAGTGCACTCTGTGGTGGGGCCTGGCCTAAACTATCATCAGGTGTATCCCTACACTAGGTGTGCGGATCAAGATAGATATCCGCATAATATATTCCCCTAAGCGTAAACGTGGTGTGGCCATCGACTCTAAAACTGTCGTTGTACCGTCTAAATAGGTAAGCCGTGAATACATGGCTAGCCGTATCCGAACGATGTAGTCGTCGAATCGCCATTTACCCATAAAGAAATTTTTCTTAAGTTGGCACAGTATTTGCACAAAATGGTAATTGCAAATTAGGTCAAGTGGAGAAAGATATAATTTTGTTTACTTAAAAATTGCTCAATATTACCTTAATATCAAAAGCAGAAGCAGTATTATTATTGCATTCAGTTTTTCATTCAGATGGATTTATTTATTCAAATTATTGTTCACTGAAATTAAAATGTTCAGTTAATATTCTTAGACTAAAATTTTATGTTGGAATTATAGTGAATTCAATCAAAGACATTATGGATTATGTTATGTAATTATGATTATATTATTTTTAACGTAGCTTTAACAATTTTTAGTTATATCATACGATGTATGCAGTGTGGCAGTTTATAGTGATGTCTAGCACTGGGGCATCATGCCGCAGACATGTAGCATGATGTTCCACATTATTCTGACACCATGCCGACCAGTCCTAACACTAACCTCTTAATGCTGAGCGTCAAGCGAGGCAGCTGTTAGTACCATTTTTTTTAAAGTATGACTCGACCGGGGATCGAAACCAACAACCTCCCGCATTCGAGGCGGACGCTTTCACCACTAGGCCACCAGAGCGGTAGGATTATTAGTTTGATACATCAAAAGGCTGCTAACACATAACCATATTTTATGTGATTGGCATATTAGCACATTCAAGACTTCAGGCACATTAAATACATTCAATATTGGAATTTATTTTGAATGCCACTGAAATTCAATTGGAATCTCATATATTTGAACTTGTATAACTTTTAGGCCTATTTGAGAACTTTTAGGACTATTCTGGATTCACAAAATTATAAGTTGTTCTTAAATATTTACTTTACTTTCTAGGGAAATAAAATTTTTTTTTTTAATTTTACAGAACTAGTTGGCATTCATTCTTTATGTTACTTAGGTTAGGACCATAGTCATAACACTGTCTGCATCAGCATATCTCTTGGTTTGCAAGAAGTGTCTCCACTTGTTGCTTAGCACATGGTATATCTGGCTGTTTTGCCATCTGCAGACATCCATATCATATTGCGGATTTGCTGATGCTGAACCTTTGACATTTTGACCCCAAAATCAAATGGTGCATTTCTTGTCTATGCATGCCACCCATAAAGTTTGGTCATGGTTTCTTGCATATGACTTGAATAATTTTGTTAAAATTGTTGTCTTTCTTGAATATGCTCTGACCTTTAAACCTAAAATCAGCAAGAATTTTTTTTTTTGTATCAGGTATACAATTAAAATTACGTTGTGGAAAAAGTTTTCCTCTCTAAAGTCCTTGTGACCTGGATCTTTTGGATCCGAAATTGATAGATTCTTCATTGCTTACAAAAAAAGTGACTTATAAAGTTAGAAACAAAATTGGGACTAGATATAGATGAATAGTAGCACAGAGATACAAACATCATCATGTAATGCTCCACCATTTCAACTTTTGCAGTCATATAAAACAAGTTAACTGGTATATAAAATAAGCTTTTCTCTAAATCACCAAATGAGCAACATCTTGGTAACCTCAGTCCTTTGCAGAGATGGTTTATATTCTACTGTTTGTAAATATTTCCAGGAATCCAAGATAAATTTGTTTCTTCATTCCTTTTATTTTCCTCAACTGCTTATACTAAAATCATCTTTAATATTCTTGAGAAACTTTTACGTACCAAACTTCCATGCGGACACTCCCAGGGTGAGTAGCAATAAAAAGATTTTCAAAATGGTCTCCATGTTGGCCTTATCAGGTGTCAGATCAAGACGATTTTAATTAAGTATTTCAGTGAAAACCCTATGTCAATATATGACTGTCCATTCATGAGTAGTAGCAATAACAAGATTTTCAAAGATAGCCATAACTAGGAGTCCGATCAGCACCATTTTTATTTAGGATCAGCCAGATATTATAAAAAGCAAAGCCCTTTAGTGAAAACCCATGTCAATACAACAATCTATACCAAATCTTTAAGATGGCCAATGTGTTAGATTTACTAGATGTTGGCATCATTTTGATTTAGGAACAACTAGATATCATAAAGTCCTTAGGAGGTTTCTTGAAGTTGGCCACAAGATTGACATATAGGATCTGCACAATTTTTTGCATAACTGGCTAGACCTCATAATAAATCTTTCTGTAAAATCCTTAAGTTGATATGACCATTCATACAGAAGGAGTGGCAATAAAAAATATCTATAAGATGGCTGCCTTTTGAAGTCATTTTGGATGTCCTAGGGGCACCATTTCATTTAGGACCAATTAGACCAATGGATGAAAGCATGAGTAAAACATTGCAGTCATCCTCACAATATATGGAGACAAGATATTTATGAAAGCCGTTCCTGGATACCAGAAGATGGTTGGAAATAGATCGACAAGTTCTTTTTTTTTCCAGACAACGTTGAGCCAAAAATAAAAACAATTACCTAAGAAAATTATCCTTGTAAGAATAAGACAATATTATTAGGGAAAACCGATTTCAGTGCGATTTCCTGGTTCTTTTAAACTGTTGACAAGTTCTCTAAATAATCTGTAAACTTGCCACTAAATCTGATCACAAGCACAAAAAATGGAATCGAATTAACATTAAAAAGTTTCAAATTCAAAAACTACATTAAACCAAGCGATGACAGAATCATTAAACTATTATGATTATAAAGTCTTTGGTTTATTAATGTATACATATCCACAAAATGTTATGAATAATATTCAGACATACAAGTGCAGTTTTAAAATTGAAATGTTTTTAACTCAAGTTCAACTTTTGTGCTGATTTGTTTTTACACTATAACCTTGCTTTAAATTAATAAAACTTTCAAGTAAAAGATTCAAACATTTACTTGAAATTAATTCTTTTCAAAAATCCATCTAAGGAAATGCTCTCAAAATTTGTTGCAATCATTCATAGGCTCATAGAAATCAAAACTGATAATTTCTAGTAATTATCAATAGTTTCATAAATATTTGATCTCAAAATGTTTGGTAAATAATGAATTCAAAGCATGGTATCTCAAGATAATATTTGAATTTTTCTTTATTTTCAATCTTCAGTAGACACATTTTGTTAATAATAGCAAACTTTTAACACATTAAACTTGCTTTACAAAAATTTGTTTGAATACCAAGTTTAAATGTTTCTAAAGTTGTGAGTTTTGTTGATAGAATTTGATATGTGGATTCTTGTTTCATTGCATCTATGAACTAATAATACAACTGAGCATATCAGGCCAACATAAAACTTAAGCAACTTCAGCAGCTCACCATTGTAATTCTTTACACCTTTTATTGCAAATTCCAACCCCACCCCACTTCTACCACTATCATAACAGTGACCTTTGGTCCATAATGCAATTTCTGTCAAATATTTGATGTATCTCTGTTATGAATGCATACGTAAAATTTGGTTAAAAAATATTTTAAAAAGTTACTGCCATTTCAATTTTTGTATGTCTGACCATTGACCTCCTGAAAAGGACCCCAGGGGAGGGAGTCAAGCATAACATGCATCTCAAAGAAAGTTACAAGCCATAATAACTACAAAATTCTGTGGATTTCTACCCAGATATGGTAACGAACATACACAGATGGATGTAGAGCTGGATGGGTAACACAATGTTCCCTTTGTTTTTTTAAAAAGTGTGGGAATAAATTTTTGTTTCAAGAGGAATTTAAAAGTTTTGGTGTATGTGAATATATGTGTATGTGTAAAGAAATAACAAGAATGTGTTTTACCAGCTAAAACTGTATTTATTTTCTGCCTCCATCACTAACCTTAACAATGAAGATTTGACTGTTAATTACAATATTACAACAGAATGAATAAAACAAGACAGTTGTATACACATGTAATTAACAAAATTATCCATGCAAGCAATTTTTGAAATTTTAAAAGGAGCACAAATAAATATTTAATACACTAAGTGCAAACTGTCATCTGAATATTTATAACATCTTTCATTCGACACAATACTGCTGAATGTCCTTTTTGCTTCAAAAGATCAAATACAATCTTTGCTACTTATCAAACCTGTAAGCTGTAAAATTTTAGAAATTTACCAAAACAAAATTCAATATCAAAATGACAACACCAATAAACATGCTTTTCCAGCTTCATGAACTAGGCACACCGGTACGAACTCTAGATGGAAATAGCACACTACTGATACTTTATCCATTACACTAAACAAATTTTAGAATTTATTATCCATGGATTATTCACATGAATATAAGCTTCAGAATAAATGTAAAACAACAAATAATTACTTACCCATTCTACTTCTTAGTACATGATTTTCACCTTTTATGTCAATGACAAACATGATTATGATTATATACACATATTAAAGTGAGAAGTTGGAAACAAATGAACTTTTAACTTTGTTCTCCCAAATCAAACACATTACAAATTAATCTAGAAGCAATGATAATTCTATCTATACATCAAATTATGCAAGCAATTCTGACAATAAAGATGGCAAAGTATCAGAGTTGGGTGGAACTGCAAAACAACACAGAAGCTGATTGCCATTGCATCATGTGCCTGCAGACCAAGGTCTATGTTGTTTTTTCCACTGATTACACCTATCGCTATTACAGAGTTTCAGATTTGCTAGCACTTCATGCAATGGTAGATGCAAGCATACACAGACATATGAACCAAATCAAATAAATGTTTGAATGTGACTCCTTATGGAACTGATTCTACGTGAATCAAAAATCTTGTTCAAGTTACCTATTATTCATGGCTTCAGGCATACTATGGGTAAATGGTGCCCTGGGTGATGATGATGGCCCAAACGGTTCTGGCACACCAAAACCTCTGGCACTTGGGGCAACAGCCTCATCTGCCCCCCAGTTAGTATGCTACTGTATGGAGTACTGCATACCCCATTTTCAAATGGTCCCACTCTTGACCTGAGAATATTTTGAACTGAGCACCTTTTTTTTAATAAAGAGTAAAAATGATCTAGCCAAGAGATATTAGATTATTCTCAGACTGAACTTCAAATTTTTATGTCTGACTCACTGCTCATTTCACATTTGACAATCAGACTTCAAAATCTAAATATACAAATTTGTGTTATTCTTGATCACTGGTCCCTAAATTTACATGTTTGAAAATCAACTGAAAACTGGATTCATGCATAAATACATATCTCATGACCATGCAAACAGCACCTTCAGCACTAAATATACCTCCCATTTAACAGTATAAACAATTAAAAGCAATTAAATACAACTATTTTAACCCGTAAGCAAAGCTGAACACGAGTGATATGTAGGCAAATTAAAACTGTCTCTAAAACAAGACTTCTCTTGAAAAGTGATAAAAATGTAATTTTTTAAGCTATTAACTAATTATTTTGAGCAATCACTAACATAAGATGTAACCAATGATAGCAAGTGTCAAGCAAGCATATATTTGATGATGTAAGAGGCATATTTTATGAATTTAATTAAGATCATCTACACTGACTCAATAATGTCTTTAAAACATCTTTTTAAGCCTCCAATCCAATTGATTGATAAAATTGGTACTAGAAAAGTTTGTTTAAATACCTCATATGGTAAATAGTCATGGAACTATCAGT